TTAACTTAATACTCCCTCTTGTTTGATTTAGTTGTCCAATTTGATTGAATGATTTTATATAATAAATGAGTGATAATTAAAAATTTCTTTTATCTAAATGAAAATACTCACCAAGTACCATGTATAAAAGAAAATTTTCAATTGTCATTTGTTTATTATATAAAATCATTTTATCAAACTTTATATATAAGTCAAATTGAGACAACGAAATCTAACTAGAGGGAGTAGCATTCTTGCCACAATACTGCCTCTTCCCCTCTTCTTTACGAGTTGTGATGAAGAGGGGAAGAGGTTATGATTTGCTTTGTGAGATTTTGGTCTACAAATATTGTAACCTGTAAATTAATTCAATTAAAACTTTTAGCTTTTTAGCTACGAGTTTGGCAAACCAAATCCTGAAGTATCAAATGAAATAATTGATAGCTTAGAACAGCCAAAGAAGTCCCATATCCAATTGTAATCTCTTTCAATTTAGCCTTGATTAATGCAAGAATGAGATGTGTAATTGGGCCTTCCCTTCCTAATACCCAATTCAAACAAATTGTAATATCCTGTTTGGATTGGAGGTAGATGGAAAGGGAGAGGAAGAGATGGGGATGGATGATAAGGGAGGGGGAGTGAGGGGAGGTTGTATCCTTCCTCCTATTTGGATTTCCAAAAATGTTAAAGGGGAGGGTGATAAACTGATTTGCAATCCTCTCAACCACCCTTAAATCTCTCAATTTGCAATCCTCCTAATTTGCGAGGTTTGGGACGGATTTTCTACAACATTAAGATTATGTAAAAGATAAAGGTTAAAACTCCTTTTTGGTTCTTCTACTTTAACAAAAAAACCTCTTTTTAGTCCCTTTACTTAAAAAAATCCCTTTTTAGTCCTTAAAGTTTAAAATCTGGTCTCTTTTTGATCCTTTCATTAAAGTTTTTGGTGCATGACAGTTAATTAATAGAATTGTGTAATGTGGAAAATCCACTTTGTAAAAAACAAGTGATGCGGACATATTTTTGGGTCCATGTCAGCATTTCATATAAAAATATTAGTTTTTTTTATAAAAATAAATTTTTATTTCTTAATCTTTGAATTACAATACAATTAACTTTAATTATTTATTAACCAACTTTAATTACTCATTTAAGTCTCATTAGATTAAATCATTTGGTTTAATTGGATCTTTTTTTTAAAAAAAGAAACAATTTCTTCTCTTGTCTATTCTTCAAATAATTATCTACAAATTTACAAATTCTCAACTATTAAAAAATCATTTGCAATGGGTTCAACCCTAGATTTCTTTTTGCATGTTCAAAATTAAAATACATAATTTTTGGAAATCACTAATATAATTTATGCTGCAAATTACTATTGGTTCAGTGCACTCTAAGAGGGGGGTTGAATTGGAGTTCAAAAATTTTTACCTCTTATCAACCACCAAACAAAAGTTAAGAAAAGTTAAAGAGAGAGTAGAGAAGAAGAGCTTGTATAATGATTTTATAGAGGCTCGGTCCAACCACTTGGAATCTAGTCCTCTACCTTGACTTCACTCACCAAGGATTTCCTTTACACTCTCCAGTAAGAAACATAAGGGTGGCTTAAAGGAGTCACTCAATCCTTTTACAAGAAGAAGGGTGTTTCTCTCAAATGTCACCCCTTTACAAGTTAAAACCCCAGAATCCTATCTAAAATCACTCTTAAAGGAATAATCACACCCCTAAGATAACACACAAGTAGAACAAGAAGAGGATTACAAGCAAAGATCAAAAACTCAAGTTAAAGCACAAGTTGGTACGTAAAGATATTCAATACAATGCTCAAAAACTTGTTTTAGATCTGCTACCAACCATATTTATAGCCCCTTGGTTGAAAATAGCCATTTCTAGCCATTGGGGGTCATTAAATGCTCTGTAGATTGTGTAACCTCGAGTTGCAAGCTCGTTAGTAGAGCTGACTTTAACTTTAGAACCGGCTTTGAACTCTAGAGCCGGCTTTGCGGCCTTTCTACACATTCTAGTTTTTCTCAAGAGCTGGTTGCAAAAACGTACAGCGACTTTGGAAATCTGACTTTAAAAAGATTAAAGAATCTTTAAATAGCTTGATTGTTGTGCATTAAATGCGCCTTCACAGCTGGCTGCAATGTTAAAGTTGGCTCTCTGTAGTTTTGTTCACCAGAGCCAGTTGCAGATTTCTAGAGCCAGCTCTTTGTACAATTCACAGGCTTTTTGGTCTAGTTTAGTGCACTCCAAGTTCACATAATTTTGCAATCTTTTGAAAGTTCAACTACACACTTAAATTAACAAATTAGTTATTCAAATGTGTTTTATAATCATCAAAATCATAGGTACAACAATTACCAATTAATTTTCTCATATTTTCTCTAACTTTCTAAGAAACCAAACAACAAAACCACTTCCAATCAAGAAAACAAGGATGACGATGGATGTGGTGGTGCAGTTGGTGTAATTCATGTCTAATTAGCATCTAAACAAGCAAGAAAACAAAACCACTTTCAATATAAAAATTTGGGTTTTGGTAGGGATTACATGGCAACCTCTAAGGTGTGTGGCAAGAACTTAGAATTGGGTTCCTCACATGACAGTGATGAACCTAGATTTGGTTTGGACGGAGAGGAAGGGAGGAAAAGAGAAGAGAGGAGAGGAGGAAAAGAGAAGAGAGGGGAAAAGGAAATGAGGAAAAGACCTGGGAGGGTATCAATGGTCTAATAATGATTTTGTTGAAGTTGGTCACCATCTGGTCCATGAATGGGTCAACAATAGCGACAGTGGGAGCTCATGGTGGTGTAGGATTATAGAAACTAAGGGAGAAGGAGGGAAGAATAAGCTATTAGAATAGGGTTTTTTGAATTGCATTTGGATCTAAAAGAAAGAAGCGGTAGGAAAGGAAACTAGATTTGGGTAGGGAAACCAGATCTAGGTAGGATTTCTCCTTTTTTTTTTTTTTTTCTTGGGTTCATGGTGAGATGTTCATGGTGAGATATTTTATCAGGGGAGTCATTGTTGATTTATCAAGAAAAAGACTAAGCCAAATGAGGGGAGAGAAGAAGAAAGGGGAGAAAAGGAAGAAGGGAAGGAGAAGACTCTGTCGACTATAGTTTAAATGGAGAGAGAAGATGGGTGGTGGAAGATGAAGTTTAAGGGTAAATTTGTAATTTTAAATTTTATAATTAAAATATATACTTATTAAAATTTCATATTATAGTTAATATTAGTACATGAGATGTCACATCATCATTTTTTTACACCATGGATTTTCCATGCCATTTATATAAAAAATAAATTACACAATTTTGTTAATTGACTGTTGTCTATATATAAAAAAAATAACAGAGGGACCAAAAAAGGATCAGATTTAAACTTTAGGGACTAAAAAAGAGCTTTTTTAAGTAGATGGATTGACAAGAGGTTTTTTGTTAAAGTGGATGGGCCGAAAAGGGGTTTTTATAAAACAAATTACAAAATTAACCATTTTATCCATTACCACAAATCCTCCTCCTCGCCTTCTTGTGGAAAAAAACCAGAGGAATGAATTAGAGTTTAAAAGCAATGAGTATACCTTGAATACTCGTTCTTTTATCATATTTTTGTTTCTTTATATAGTTGGGAGATTATAATTAGTTCCAAGTCTATTGCTATGTTTGTTTATAGTCTAAGTCTATCTAGTAGAGAAATAAATGAGATTAATACATCAATACTAGTTCTAATCTTTCACTAGTGATTGCATTTCATACATTCAATTCAAGCGAGTTATTGTTTTCAAGATATTTATATTGATTGCTTTTCCCCTAACTCCATCCAATTCATGGAATTTATAATTTCAGAATTCAAGTTTTCATTAACTATTAAGTTCTGCTCTCAAGCTGCACCTTTACCTATATGGTTTATTTCTTTAATCATAATATGTTTAGTAGCTTTTGTTTTACTTTTGTTGCTTTGCAGCCTGTTTTTTGGTTGCTTATGTTGCTTTTTCCTGAAGGTGTTTTAAGTTGGATTGTGTTCTCTTGCTTGATTGTTTTTTTCCACGTTGTTTACATTATTGTAGACATATGTATTGGGCGTTCACCCTTTTAACCCTCAAATAGCATTGATTTGGTATTGACATGGAAAAGAGAAGGCTTTAAATTTAGCTTATGTTACATGAATAATTTCAAGGTAGAGAACTATAGGCTTATTGATTTAATATTATTATTATTATTATTCTTTTGCAAAAGGGATGGATCTTGCAGGTTACTTAGGTTCAACTTCTTTACATCATATTGAAAGACTTTCATTTTCAGAGTAGTTAGAAATAATCATCATTTGGAAATTTCGATAGGTTGTGTTTAGAAGATATTTGTGCCTAGAAAAGGATTACTTATCATTTTTGCTCATATATAATAATGGAGACAGATCCTTTGACTTGGTTGGTGCCAATATTTAGTTAATTTTAAATTTTTTTAGTCACTTAATGTTTAACTTGGTGATCACTTTGAATTTGGTGATAACAGTTGATAATTTATCCATAAATCTACAAGGACAGAGATGAGACAGAGGCTTGGTTTGCTGGCCTTCAGGTATTGAACCAGGTAATTCTAATTTAAAAATTGCTAGTTTATATTCATTTTTTTTTTTAATTTTTATGAACCTTAGTTATACAATTGAGTTCAAAATATATCATGATATAAAATTTTAATTTGTATTTCATAAATATAGATGGATGCCATGAGAGATATGCATAGGGGGGCTATTGCTCATGTAATAGGCTTAGTTGTTTATTGGTGGTTTCTTCGTAGTCGATGAAAATGAAAGCTTCTTGATGATAGCATAATTAATGGGAGAGAACGAGTTCAGAATGAGATAATGAACCAAATTGTGGGAAGTGAGAGAAGTTGCTATATGATAAGAATGGGGCCTAGAGCTTTTCTACAATTTTGTGAGATACTGGAAAGGGAGGGAGGCCTCCAACCCAGTAGGAGAGCAACTATTGAGAAACAAGTAGCTAAAACTCTTTTTATTCTTTTTAATAATGCTAAAAACTATTTAGTCCAATTTTGGTTTCGACGTTCTAGAGGAACTATTAGTTGACATTTGCATCATGTGTTGAGAGATGTAATAGTAGTTGAAGATTAATTTATTAAACAATCAAATGATTCAGAAATCCCTGTGGAAATAATGTCAAATGGTAAATTTTACCCATACTTTAAGGATTGTGTAGATGCAATTGATGGAACACACATCATGTAAAAGTCTCAACCTTAAATGCCCTTAACTATCGTGGTAGAGAAGAGTATCTAACCAAAAATGTCTTCGCTACTTGTACATTTGATTTAAAATTCACCTATGTGTTAATAGGATGAGAAGTGAATGCCTTAAACTCTAGAATTATTAAGGATGCATAAAAAAGAAAAGATGAGCTTATAATTCCAAAGGGAAAATTTTATCTTGTTGATGCTGGGTTTATACTAAAAATTGGGCTTACAACTCCTTACAGATGAGTTCACTATCATCTCAAAGAATACTCAAATAATTCTCCTCAAAATGCTAAAGAATTATTTAATTTTAGGCACACAACCCTACATAATGTTATTGAAAGAGTATTTGGTGTTTTGACAAAAAGATTTGAGATTTTAAGCGGTGGAACCAAACCATTCTATGGAGTTAAACTCAAAATTTAATTAATTTAGTTTGTTGCATTATTCACAATTTTTTTATGGTTTGGATCTTAATAAAAGATCTTATAGTTGAAGTAGATATGGAATTAGGAAATTAAGATAGTTGCCAACAAACTCGTACTTCTAGAGAGGAAGAAGAATATGCTATCATGGGGGAAATGTTGAGAGATGTCATTATTGTTGTTATGTGGCACAACTATAAAAACTTGCTAGTTTACTTTATGACTTTTAAACTTTCCTCTTTGTAATTGTTTTGTGTTCTTTTGACTTGAGTTAATTTCTTTGTTCTTAAATTATTTACTTTTATTTTTTTAATGTTATAAATAATAAATTTTCTTTATAATAGTTTTTTACTAAATAAAGTTATGTAATAATTTCTTTTATTTAGGTATGAGTGAGAAGGAGAAAAATAGTAATACTAAAAATGCAAGTGAAGAAGGCAAATTAGTATGGACACCTATAATGGATGAGGCTTTTATGGATGCTTTCTTACATCAACATAATTTGGGTAATAGAGTAAAAGACTTCTTCATCACCAAAGCATATGAAAATATTGTTAATGAACTAAAAGAAGAACTTGGAAAGGATGTTGACAAAGATAAGGTTAAAAATCATATGAAAACTTTAAAGGGAAGCCTTTCAAAATCTTATGACTTATTCAAAAACCTTAGTAGTTTTTCATGAAGCCTTATTACCAAGCTATGGAGTGTTGAGCCTAAAGTTTGGGATGCATTAATAAAGGTACAATTTTAATTAAAATTTCCTTGCTAACATTTTGCTTGACCTAAGTTAATTACTTTTATTTTAAAATGTTGATGTTTTGTAGGTTAACAAGGATGCTAAAGAGTGGATGTCAAAACCAATGTTGCACTATCACACATTTATAATACTATTTTGGAAATGATCGAACTACAGGTGAAAAGTCAAAGATTGTAAAAAAAACTAAGGAAAAAGCAATCATCCAAACATGATAATGAGTATTATGATACCACTGAGGAAATTGATTGTATCGTGTCACAAAGTCAAGTATCTTTGGAGGGTTTTGGAACTAATGATGCTGATTTTAATCCTTTAACATGTCTTGAAGGTCTGTCAAATGTGCCAACTAACTCAAAATCCAAAAAAGTAAAGAAGTCACAAGAAATTTAAAATAAAGCAATGGGCTTCCAAAAGCTATCAATAATGTAGCTTGAGCTCTAATTGAAGGGAATTTGCATCCTCCACTTTTAGAGGCAAAAGTTTGGAATATGTCAAAGAATTTGGGCCTTAACTCATATCAAATTACCACTATTTATTTGTATATGCTCGAGCATCCAAATAAACTAAGAGCAATATTAGGATGTCCACCTAGGAAAGGCTTGAATATTATTATGAGAGTTGTTTTCGGTATTT